ATCATTAACCGAGGCCCAGGTGCAAACCTCCAAACTTACAGTAACAGAAGCAGAGGAAGTGCCTCTTTCCCCGTCATTAACCGAGGCCCAGGTGCAAACCTCCAAACTTACAGTAACAGAAGCAGAGGAAGTGCCTCTTTCCCCCTCACAAATCAAGGCCCAGGTGCAAACCTCCAAACTTGCAGAAACAGAAGCAAAGACTGCCTTTCCTTCCCCATCACAAACTGAGGTTCATATCCAGTCTTCTTATTTTGAAGTACCAGAGTTGGAGGATGAGATGCCTGCTACCCCAATTAAAGAGAAGCCCCTCCCACTAACATTGACAGAGGCCCAGGTGCAAACTTCGTATGTAGACATACCAGCAGGGAATAAGTGGCGTTCATCACGACTACAAGTTGAGGCCCAGGTGCAAACCTCCAGGCTTGAATTGCTAGAGGCAAAAGAAAAGGCTCCTTCCCTATCCCAAACACAGGCTGAGATGCAAACCACCAGGGTTGAAATAACCGAAGAGAGACAAGTGCCTCCGACTCCCCCAGATGTTAAAATATTAGAAGAGGAGACGCTGAAGGAGGAGGTAGAGCTGAAGCTTCCACGCCCTGAATATGCCGAGGCCCAGGTGCAGACCTCGCTTGTTGAAATACCTGTGGGGAAGAAGTGGCGTTCGTCCCGTTTATGTACCGAGGCCCAGGTACAAACTTCATATCAAAAACTCCCAGTTGTGAAGAGCAAGACTTTGCCCCCCCAAGGTACTGGGGTGGTAAAGAAGGTCAATGAGCGTGCAGCATCAAAAAAGTAAGTAGAAAAGGCTAGTTCTGCCATACTTTCCCTGCTGCAGGGCTGAGCATCCAATCTTTTCTTCTAGATCAGCATTGTAGAAAGCTAATACAGTGTCCGGTTGTGTGTCGATTTGAAAGGATTGGGTTGAAAATTACCTGTGAAGTCATTTACCGTTTACTCATCTATTCAGAAAAACCTGTAGCTCTTGTACCACCAGTGCATTCTTTGTATCCATGGATTCAGCGGATTTGAGACCAAAAGGAGCCATTCGATCATCTAATCTGACCTTCTGTATAGCACAGGTCATTACATTTCACCCAGTTACTCCTGTACTGAGCCCAGTAACTTGTGTTTGGCTAAAGCATCTCTTCCAGAAATTAGGGCTGTCAAGTGATTAAAAAAATTAATCATGATTAATCACACGATTAAAAAAATGAATCGCGATTAATCGCATTGTTAAACAATAATGGAATACCATTTATTTAAATATTTTGGATGCTTTCTACATTTTCAAATATATTGATTCAATTACAACACAGAATACAAAGTGTATAGTTCTCACTTTATATTTTTTTGATTACAAATATTTGCACTGTAGTGTAATCTCTTTATCATGAAAGTTGAACTTACAAATGTAGAATTATGTACAAAAAATAACTGCATTGTTTTATTTTTCAGTGTAAAACTTTAGAACTTACAAGTCCACTCAGTCCTACTTCAGCCAATCTCTCAGACAAACAAACTTGGTTACAATTTGCAGGAGATAATGCTGCCCGCTTCTTGTTTACAAATATCACCTGAAAGTGAGAACAGGCATTTGCATGGCACTTTTGTAGCTGGTGTCACAATATATTTATGTGCCAGATGCGCTAGAGATTCATATGTCCCTTCATGCTTCAACCACCCTTCCATAGGACATGCGTCTATACTGATGATGGGTTCTGCTTGATAACGATCCAAAGCAAAGAGGACCGATGCATGTTCATTTTCATCATCTAAGTCAGATGCCACCAGCAGAAGGTTGATTTTCTTTTTTGATGGTTCGGGTTCTGTAGTTTCCGCATCTGAGTGTTGCTCTTTTAAGACTTCTGAAAGCATGCTCCACACCTTGTTCCTCTCAGATTTTGGAAGGCACTTCAGAGTCTTAAACCTTGGGTCTAGTGCTGTAGCTATTTTTAGAAATCTCACATTGGTATCTTCTTTGCGTTTTGTCAAATCTGCAGTGAAAATTTTTTTAATACAAACGTGCTGGGTCATCATCCGAGACTCCTATAATATGAAATATATGGCAGAACGTGGGTAAAACATAGCTGAAGACATAGTTTTCCCCCAAGGAGTTCAGTCACAAATTTAATTAACACATTATTTTTTAATGAGCATCATCAGCATGGAAGCATGTCCTCTGGAATGGTGGCTGAAGCATGAAGGGACATAAGAATGTTTAGCATATCTGGCACAAATACCTTGCAACGCCGACTACAAAAGTGCCATGTGAACGCCTGTTCTCACTTTCAGGTGACAACGTAAATAAGAAGCAGACAGCAGCATCTCCTGTAAATGTAAACAAACTTGTTTTTCTTAGCGATTGGCTGAACAAGAAGTAGGACTGAGTGGACTTGTAGGCTCTAAAGTTTTACATTGTTTTGTTTTTGAGTGCAGTTATGTAACAAAAAAATCTACATTTGTAAGTTGTACTTTCATGATAAAGAGATTACACTAGCAGTGGTTCTCAAACTTTTTTTTCCCGTGGACCACTTGAAAATTTCTGAGGGGTCTCTACAGACCACTTAATGATCTTTCCAAATATTGTTTGTAGGATTAGCTAACTATTGTAAAGTGCTTTGGATAAAAGTGCTATACTGTGGTTTTTTAAAAAAAGTAATATTTAATGTTTTTTTGTTCTACAAATAAAAGCACACAACTCATATTTTAATATCAGTAGTGTTAACTTTCTAATGGATGTGCCCTCTCTCCGTCACCACAGCAACCCCTGAGCTGGGGGTGGGAAGGGGGGGGGATCTCTCCCCTGCCACAACAGCCACAGAGCTGAGGCTGGGAAGGAGGGCCATCTTTCCCCAGCAGCCACAGCCCTGGAGCTGGAGAAAGTCGCCTTTCTCTGGCTGCCGCAGCCCTGCATGTCCCAAGTTCCCCCCACCCCCTCTTCTCACCCCACTGCCCCCTCCCACCTATGCCCTATTCCCCCCAAGGCCACCAACTCACCTTACATGTGCATCTTCTCCAAGGTCCAGGCACCTAATTAGTGGAGCCACACCTGTGTGGCTCCACTAATTTGGTGGGTGGCTCTTCATTCTCTCATGTGTGGCCACCCAGGCACGCACCTTAGAGGGAACTATCCAGGGACCACCTGAATGGAGCTCGTGGACCACTGGTGGTCCGTGGACCACAGTTTGAGAACCTCTGCACTACAGTATTTGTACGAGGTGAATTGAAAAATACTATTTCTTATGTTTATCACTTTTACAGTGCAAATATTTGTAATAAAAATAATGTAAAGTGAGCACTGTACACTTTGTACTCTGTTGTAATAGAAATCAATATATTTGAAAATGTAGAAAAACATCCAAAAATATTTTATAAATTTCAGTTGGTATTCTATTGTTTAACAGTGTGATTAATCGCAATAAATTTTTAAAATTGTGATTAAATTTTTGAGCTAATCGCTTGAATTAACTGTGATTAATTGACAGCCCTACCAGAAAGGCATTCCGTGTTGATCTGAAGACATCAAGAGATGGAGAATCCACCACTTCCCTTTTTAAAATATGGGCATCGGTGTGGATGCAGTATTCTGATATCTGTATTCAGAGGCAAAAACAGAATGCTGTATTCAGAGGCAAAATCACCTCCCCTGTTTACACACTCAAGGGTCTAGATGTCTGGAGACTGGTAATGGGGTGGCTTTTTTGGGGTTTCTCAATTGTCTGAAAGAGTTGGTTATAACATTCAGTGCATAGCTCTTTTGTATGTTCAGAAAGACTGAATTTTTAACTGAAGAGTAGGTTGCATTTCCTTAAATGCAGCCAAAATGTTGGATTGTTATTCATGTGCGCATCCTCTTTAGGCAATGGGTGTATTTTTATTTTTTTATGATAAAAATAAAATAAATACATATATCTGATTGGTTAACATTACGTGCTTTCAAGATGAAAAGCTCTCTCTCTCTCTCTCTATATATATATATATAATATGTATGTATAATCTACTAAAGCATTCTTATTCTTATTATGATTTATTTATATTTGGAGAGTAATTTCTTTTCTCCTTTGGAATGACTCCAGTTGCTCCAAATAACCAGCATTTCCTGCCAGAGAATGGACCTACCAATGCCTTATCTCGCCCTCATCCCTAAACAAATTATTCGGTTTGAACCCTGATTGGCAGCTTGAGATGTTTGTCAGCTAGAGATGTGTCAGAGCCAGAAGCATTTATCTATTATGCCCTGAAACTGTGGGGATGTGGATGTAAGGGTCCCATATCCAAATCACCCCAGATTTGGGTTTTGTTTTCCTAGAGCAAAATCCTGAGGAGCAAGTTTTGCAGAAGCGCAATAAATAAATTAGAATTTGCCCAATGCTATTGTCAACCTTTGCAGATGTGTTGATCACACCAAGTGAGGTTTTCAAAGCAACCTAGGGGATTTGGATGCTCAAAATCCATTAATTTTGGCAAGAACTGGTTGTCCCGATCTTTTAAGCAGCTCTGAATAATCTCAGTTACCATATTTTATAGTAGTCCCAGCCAAAAAACGAGGTGGCACCACCTAAGGATTGAAAATGAGTGTATATCACAAGGCAGGGATAGTTAAACCCCTTTCCTTTATTGTTTGTCTTTTTGTTGCAGACTAACAAAAACCTCGACACGAGCAACACCAATATCTGTGCACTTACATGTAAAGATGACTCCACGACGCCGGAATGGGAATAAAAAGAACTAGTAAAAACTTGAATTTAAACAAATAAAACCTTGTAAAATAACAAACTTAACCTGTGAGATTTTTCTGGAGATCGTGCCTCACAGTTTGAATGCACAGGGCCATGTCCCCAGCTAGTGTTTATTGGCATAGCTTCACTGAAGTAATCGGAGTTGTGCAGATATACACCAGCTGCAGATCTGACCTGTAATTTCTTACTTTGTCATTTCATAATCTCTGTTATAGTTAGTTGTTTGGCATGATAAACTCCAGTTTTGGTCCTGTCCCCATCCTTGCTAATTTGCTAGATTGCACACTGCGTAATTCACGCACAAACCTGTGTTGCTACACCACATTCTAGTAAAATTTGGGACATAGTGCTCAAGTGAGGTCTCATGCTGTAAACCAGGCAAAGCTCGGTCAGTACAAATCATAGCTTTCCTTGTCTACACTACGAGTTTGTACCAGTTCAGCTACATCATTGGGACAAATTTCCAATGGATACTACTTCTGCCATAATAAAAGGATAAGCCTGTGCTTTACTGAACAGTTACACTTGTGCCACTGCAGATATTTCAATTTGATGTTAAGTCTGTATGGTTGCACTGTAACTAGCATCTCTAGTTAGGAATGAATTGGGATTTAAATTATAGACCTCTTCTTTTAGCAGTCTGATCATTTTCCCAAATAAAATGAGCTTTTGGGCTTAGATTCCTAATGGTAGCCTTCAGTTCAGAAGTTGCTTTTTTCAGAATAATTAACGGAAAACTGCAGAGTTGTTTGGAGTGATCCCAATATGAAGAAAAATTGTTTTTCTGTTCATTTTTGAGCCATCCAAAGCCAAGAAGATTCTGATTTGGAAATAAAATAGAAATGTCATATACACCTAGACCACGATTCATCAAAGTACTTAATTTGTACATGTACTTAAATTTTAGCATGTGCTTAAGTCCCATAGGTCACCGTGGGAACCATAACTCTGAATTTCATAACTTTTGTGTGACTAAATCTCAACCTTGAAGAACCAGTGGACACTAAAGCAGTGTCAATTACTATGATATTTGGGATTTGTAATACTAGAACTGTGAAACAGGTGTGAAACATAACACCTGCAATTTTCCAACCTACTTTTCTCATTTGTTTGCCACACAAACCTTAAAAAAATTCTTTGTCAGTTAATCCTCTCAAAAGGCTTTTCTTCTACTTTGATTATCAGCTTTGAAAAGTAACCACTGAGAATACTGGAACTTGAAACCATTTTGCTTCCATTAGAAGTGGCTCTAATTTCCCATGGAGCTATTTATTAAGAAGGTCTTCAAAAGCACCTAAAAGATTTAGAAGTACTGCTTCCATTGACTTTCACAGGGACTTTTGCTTCTATGGGTTTGTCTACACCACAAATAAAGGTATAATTGCAACATGAGCAGGAATACCTGCCACTAGCTTTAATCTACCTAACTTCAGGTAACAACAGCAGTGAAGATATGGCAGTAAGGCCCCCAGTGCAGGTCAGCAACTCAAGTACATACCCAGAGTCCCTGGAGGGCTTGTACCACCGCATTTTCACTGCTGTTGTTACCTGAAGTTAGGTAGATTAAAGCTAG